TCTGGCCCTGGATTCAGCCTATTTGATGCTGAGACCTAAGCCCAGAAAACAGTGTAACATCTGACATCTGTTATATACTGTCTATATATTTAACCAGGAATTCACTCCAGAATATTACCTTATAAAGTGAAATTTCTCCACTGATGAACTTGAAGCATAGAACTGTATGCCCACAGTCACAAGCTAATAGTCAAAAGAGTTCTAAAAACCAAGCAGTCTGGGGCTGGAGAGATGGTTCCGTGGTCAAGGGCACATACTGCTTTTGTGAAGGACCCTAGTTTGGTTCCTAGCACCCATATTGACTCACAGCCACCCAACTCTAGCCCCAGGGGGATCCAATTCCCTGCCCCCCCCCCACGCATGCACAGATACACACACACACACAACAAAGTTGTCCTCTGACCTCAACAAGTGCACCATGACAAACGCACACACACACACACACACACAATAATGATAAAAATATCCGGGTGTGGTAGCACACACCTTTAATTCCAGCACTCAGGAGGCACAGGCAGATGTATCCCTGTGAGTTCCAGAGAAGTCTAGCCTATATAGTGAGTTCTAGGCCAGCCAGAACTACACAGTGAGGCTGTGTCTCTCATAATAATAAAAAGACTATATCTTTAAAACCAGGTAATTTGGAGCTAGAGAGATGGCCTAACAGACAATAGCTATCCTGAAGTACCCCAGTTTGGTTCCTTGCACCTATGTCCACTGACTCACAACTACCTATAACTCCAGCTCCAGGGACTCCATTGTCCTCTTCTGGCCTCTGCAGGCACCTGCATACATGTGTCATATGTTCACACAGACACACACACATAAATAAAAATAAATCTTAGAAGCTGGAGAAATGGCTCAGTGGTTAAGAGTACTGGCTGATCTTGCAGAAGACTCGGGGTTTGGTTCCCAGCACCCATATGGCAGCTAGCAATCACCTATAGCTCCAGTTCCAGAGAATCTGATGTTTTCTTTCGGCCTCCTCGGGCACTTCAGCTGCACACAGGTGCACTTAAATACATGCCTGCAAAAAGTTCATATATATTGAATTTTCTTTAATTCTTAAAAAAAACTTTAAAAAATAAAACCAAGTAATTTGACTTCAGATCCTGTGTTCCTAACCACTCTATTCTAATCTCCAGAAGGAGCCTGGATCCCGAAGCATAGCTCCAACAGGATGCATGTATGTGAGCCACATCCATAACAGGGAGAACACTGGACTGTGAAAGATGATTCTCTGGGGCTGGAGAGATGGCTCAGTAGTTAAGAACACTGGCTGTTCTTGCAGAAGACCTGGGTTCGCATCTCAGCACCCACGTGGCAGCTAACAACTGTCTGTAACTCCAGCCCCAGGGGATCTGACAGCCTCTTCTGACCTCCTTGTGGGCACTGCACGACATAGGTGCACTTAACCTACATGTAGGCAATACACTCATACACATAAAATAAATAAAGTTTTTAAAAAGTTAAAAAAAAAGATGATTCTCTACCACGATGGCTAATTGGGGGTTGGATGGTTGGTGCCACTGTTCATTTTTCTTTCCATGCACAGTCTCTGTATCTTTGTAGGCTCCTCTTCCTCTACTTTATCTTGGATGTTGAAGGGTCCCGTGCATTGCTCTTGGCCTTCCTTATTCTAACTAGCTACACTGTCCTGAGGTCTTCACATCTGCATCTTCATGATAATTTTCTGTGTGTATCTCCACACCTCTTTTCTAGCCCAACTAGTAGGTCTGCCTGTCAAACTCAACACTTCCACCTAGATACCTCACAGGCACCTGAAACGGAAACTGTTTTACTCACAACTCTGTTTCTGCCCCTACAACTTTGCTCCTCCCACAGACTCTTTCTTTGCAGTAATTTGTTTGTTTTGGGGGGTTTTGTTTGTTTTTGTCTTTTTGAGACAGGGTCTCCCTGTAGCCCCAGCTGGCCTACAACTATGTAGACCAGGCTGACCTCAATCCCACAGAGATCTGCCTGCCTGTGCCCTGTAAGTGCTGGGACTAAAGGTATATGTGCCACCACGCCCAGCTCTCTGCAGTACTTTAAGGTGCTTACTCAGCAGAATATTATTGAGCATCTTCTTTAGTAGTAAAAAAAAACCCTAAAAAACAAAAAAAGAACAGACCCAAACCACTGCCCTAGAGCTAAACAGTTAGCCATGTGTAAGGAGAATAGGGGATGGGGACTGACATCTTTAGAAGAGCAAGTAAAAGTGAGGCAGGTAAGCAAAAGACAGTTTGATGGAACTCCAGTGACACAATCAGGATATGTTTCAGGGGCTGCAGAGGACCTGCATTCGATTCCCAGCACCCACATGGAGGCTACAAACCGTCCTTAACTCCAGTTCCAGGGGAATCCGAAGCCCTCTTCTGACCTCCACAGCATTGCACGACACGGGTGCACTTACATACATGCAGGCAATACACTGACACACATAAAATAAAAATAATATTTTAATAAGTTACGGTATGTTTGGGTGTCAAGTTGACAAGGAGTGGATTTGTGATGGTTAATTTTATCAACTTCATTTAGAATCACAAGACAAACTTTGGGTGTCTCTATAAGGACGTTTTCAGAGAGGTTTAACTGAGGTAGGAAGATCCACCCTAAATGTGGGTGGCACTATTTCATGAGCTGGAGAAAGCCAGTGCAGCACCTGCATTTTACCTTTCTGGGCTTCACAATACAAGCACTCACCTCACACTTGTGCTGCCTTTCCTGCCGTGACGTGCAGCTTCCCCCTCAAACGAGAGCCAGAAATAAACTCTTCCTCCCTCAAGTTTCTTTTGTCAGGTATTTTGTCAGAGCAAGGAGAAAAATAATATACTCTGTTCAATTTTTTTTTTTTTGAGCTGAGGACCGAATGCAGGGCTTTGTACTTGTTGGGCAAGCACTCTACCACTGAGCTAAATCCCCACCCATTTAATCTATTTTAAAAACCAATTTATTTTACATTTTATTTATTATGTGTGGGTGTAGGTGTGCACACATGCCACATGGTAAATGTGTAGAGGTCAGAGGATAACTTGCAGGAGTTGATTCTCTCCTTCTACCATGTTCCTGGGGACTGAACTGTTTATCAGGCTTGATGGCAAGTGTCCTTACCACTGACCTATCTTACCTATAATGGACAATCTTTTTATAAAAATTGTTTTTATTTTATGTGTCTAAGTGTACTGCTTGCATATATGTAAATGCACCCATGTCATGCAGTGCCTAAGGAGGTCAGAAGAGGGCACTGGGAACCAACACCAGGTCTTCTGCAAGAGCAGCCAGTGCTCTTAACTGTTGAGCCATCTCTCCAGCCCCAATCCTTTTTTATTTTAGACAAGAGTTTCACTATTCAGCCCTGACTGGCCTACAACTGGTTATAAAGATCAGGCTGGCCTTGAACTCACAGAGATCCACTTTCCTCTGCCTCCCAAGTTCTGGAATTAAAGGAATGTACCACCATGCCTAGACTCACACTGAACAATCTTAACACAGCTCTTCATAGACTGATCCCTTGTAAACAGTCAAATTTCAGTCAAACTGACATCACTTGTTAGGACTGGGGATGTGGCTCAGTGGTACAGTGTTTTTCTGGCATGCAGAAGACCCTGGGTTCAATCTCTAGGGGAAAAAAGAGACACTACCCCTTTAGAGAAGCTCACCCAATTAATTCTCATTTAATACAGGTACTTAAACTACATTGTATTTAGCATAATCCATCATTACTGTGTACCAGAAAACTCAATATTTCAAGGGGATAAAATACATACTCATTAAATAAGTTATTCACAATAAATTAAGTGGAGACTTGAAGCTGAGGACTATCTTACACTGTTAGGATCAAGACAGGGAAGTCCATTTGACACTTGAATAGAAGTGGACAGGCACGCTATAACCTCAGGGAGCTATAACCTCAGCCAGAGCTGCTATACTTTTGGGCCCTTCAAAAGAAGCATGAAACAAAGGCTTTTTTTTTTTTTTTCCCCTTGGTTTTTTGAGACAGGGTCTTGCTGTAGCCCCAGCTGCCCTGGAACTCCCTATGTAGACGAGGCTGGCCTTGATCTCAGAGAGATCCACCTGCCACTGCCTCCCGAGTGATGGACTAAGGACGTGCACCACCAGGCCTAGCTCAAGGGTTCTTTTAGAGTATGGTTTTCCTAGCTTTCCCAGGCATCTCCCACAGCCCTAAACTCCCAACTTTTCCTTGTTCTTTGGAAGCTAGTTCTTTCTTCCCAGTAGTTCCCTCAGGGCACTGTCCTGTGAAAGTGCTTCCACTGGTGTCTCCCGGGACCCACAACTGGTTGCAGCAGTTCAGGTGGAGTTTGACTGATGCAATTAACTGGGCACCGCTCCTTAGGAACGCAGCCACCATCCTTCATCAGCTCTTCAGACATTAATCACCTTGATCTGACGGTGGTGTAAGTCACAGCTTCTCCAGGTTTTCTCCCGATCTTGAGCGTCCTGACAGAGTACTAAAAACACTGGTTGAAACAAACAATGCTTTTAAAATTAGTTCGAGGAGACCCTCACAGCTTAGGGTGATTACAAAGTCCAAATACATTCCGCGGCCCCGCCCCTCCCAGGGTCGCCATGCCTAGCCCTTCCCTTCCCTTTAATCACTCAAGCTGGGTAACCTTTCTAGTTTCTATAATAGTCCCCAAGGCTTCTCCTTATGCTTTTTTTCTTTTTTAAATATTTTATTTTTAACTTATGTGTATGAGTGTATTTCACCTGCGTCGTGAAATGCACGTGGAGGTCAGAAGAGGGCGTCAGATCCCCTGGAACTGGAGTTACAGACGGTTGTTAGCTGCCATGTGTGTGCTGGGAACGGAACCGAGGTCACCTGCGAGAGCAGCCAGTGCTCTAAATCGCTGAGCCATCACCCCAGCCACGCTATGCTGCTTTCAATCGGGAAAGCGTTGACTTCCGGCTTTCTGCAAAAACCACCACCAACAAACGCTCAGGCCTCCGCCGCCTGGCCACGCCCCTTGGGCGCGTTTCCAGGACGAACCGGAAAAGATTGTACGGCTCTGGTTCGTAACCCGGAAGTAGATGTACCTCACGGAAGCCGGCTTTGGCCCTGCGGCTGCTGCCGTCGCCGCGGAGAAATTGTTGGAGCTGGCAGCCTGGGAATGGTGAGACCCCGCGGTTCGTCTCCGAGCGTTCTGAGTAGAGTTGGGGGAGAAGTGGAGCTTCCCAGTGTGCCGCGGGGGACAACCACCCCCCCACCCCCCACCTCCGACAAGATTTGGGGCCCCGCCCCGGTATCGCCCTGAAAAGTCTGCGCCTGCGCCGGGCGGACAGGCCCAGACGCTGGCCTGAGGTGTTACGCATGCGCAGAGGTGTTGCCCGCGGTGTGGTGAGAATTCGCTGAGTGGATCCAGCTTCCCAGCCCCCAGTGGGGCTTAAACCCGGGCTGCGAGTGCCCCGTGGCTTGCTCCGTCTTGTACTTGGGAGCTGACTTCCTTATCGCTCGTACCCCGAGTCCCTGGAACAGACCCGGAGGGCCCCTCCCCTTGGGTGTGGTCTTGCGGGAGGAGGGGCCGAGGGAAGGGGGCGCAGACTCTGCCTTGGGTGATCGCCAGGTTCGGCCCCTTCACCCTGGGGTCGCATCCTCGACTCCCGGCCACCTCCTAGGAGCCTGCTCGCGGGTAGCGCCGGAACTTTGCTCTGAGAGCCTCCCTGGCTAGAAGGGGCGGGACCTGCACGCACTGCGCTGCAGGAAGTCCAGGACCTGAGTGGTCTGTGGATTAGGAGCGGGTCTCCCAAAGCGGTGGGGATTCAGGTTCCAAACCTACTCTTCTCCCTTCTAAAGGTACCACCAACTTAAAAGCTGTAAATGCAAATTGAAGGGAAAGACTCTGGAATTCTACCTTTCCTTTTCTCCTCCCTGGCCTGGGAAAAGGGTTAGTGCTGCTGAGCTTAAAAGTTAGCTGAGAATCTCTTTAATAGTCAAGGTACTTAAAATTAGAGGGGTCTCTGGACCTCCTAAAATAGTATGTCTATGTACGTTTTTCTAGCCTCCGCAGCTTTTATCCTACTGTCTGGAGTGTCAGACTTCCACACAACTACGAATTTTTAAACAATTTTTAAAATTTATTCTTTTCATTTTATGTGTATGAGTGTATTGCCTGCATGTACATGAGTGCACCCTGTCGTGCAGTGCCACAGAGGTCAGAAGAGGGCTTCAGATTTCCCTGGAACGGGAGTCAAGGATGGTTCGTAGCCACCATGTGGGTGCTGGGAATTGAACCTGGGTCCTCTGCAAGAGCAGTCAGTGCTCCTAACCGCCAAGTCATCTCTCCAGCCCTTAAACAATTTTAAAAATGTTACATATATGAATTTTGCCTGCATTCAAGTGCACCATGTCATGTAATGTGTGTGGAGGCCAAAAGAGGGTGTCAGATCCCCTGGAACTGGAGTTAGGGATGGTTGTTAGTTGCCATGTGGATGCTGAGAACTGAACCCTGTACTCTTCAAGAGCAACCAGTGCGCTAAGCTGCTGAGCCATCTCTCCAGCCCCGGAATTTTAAGGGTAATTGAGAGGAGAGCTTTATGCTTCTTTGTACTCAGTGTGTTGTCCTAGCTTAGCGGACCCTGAGGAACATGAGCCAGTATGAGAAGATGAGTTTGGCCAGTTGGAAACCTGAGCCTGAGGGAGCTTCATTTCTCCTTTGCAGAATCTCCTCTTGGCACCTCAGCTCACTTGGTCAGAATCCTTGGATGAGCCTGTGGGACCCTTCCTCCTAGCCCTGTGGTTTGGAACCAGTGGCTTTGGAACTGTAAGAGGATGGACAAAGGTAGTATGAGGCCGGGCCAGCTCCCCAAATGCTTGGGCGCCACGCATCTGCTGATTCCACTCTGTGCCTGGGCACGTGTGTCTTTCGGTCCTGGCTGGGCATTGCCACCTCCCCCTGGGCCAGCACCACCCACGTACCTCTCGGCAGAGCCACAATTGACTGACTTGCTGTTGAGCTGCTGCTCTTTGGCACGCTGCATTTTGATGGCAGAGGGAACAGTTATGCCCAGATCCCGGTGTGTCGGCATCACCAGTCTGACCTGAGCACCATGTGCTGCACGACATGACACGTGGCACCGGGAGAACTGCCCAGCGTGGAAGGTCTGGGCCAGGTCTGAGCCCAGATGGGATCTGGATGGCCAAGGAACTCCCACCTTAAAAACCTCAAGTGTCAAGGAGACTGGGGAGGGGTAGAGGGCTGGCAACGGAAGAGGGCGGAAGAGGGCGGAAGAGGATTCCGTGTACAGAGGTTCAAAGCTCTGCTGGGCACTTGGAAGGCCTGAGTTTACCCCTTTTCTTTTTCTAGATTCTCAGGGCTTGCTAGACTCATCCCTGATGGCATCAGGCACCGCCAGCCGTTCAGAGGACGAGGAGTCACTGGCAGGGCAGAAGCGCGCCTCCTCCCAGGCCCTGGGTACCATCCCTAAACGGAGAAGCTCTTCCAGGTAGTCTGGGTTCAGGAGGACCAGGAAGGGGAAGACTTGTATCATTAGGCACTCTGTGCCTTTGCCTCTTTGGGGAATTGTCACCTGAGTCTGGAGTCTGAGCTGAGCCTTGAGCTTTTCCTGATCTACTGATCCCTCCTCATGGCACTGACGACAGGGGAAGGAGATCATTGGTCTCTGATGGGGAGTTCCCTGTCATCTCAGAGGGCTGATGTGTTATTCCATGTCCACTGAGCCAGACTCTGGTGGGAAGTGAAAGCAAGGCAGTCAGCTCCCTCTGAGCCTGCTCTGTGGGTGCTGTGCAGGGTGCCAGTGGTTCACTATGCAGGCTCTCCCTACAGGTTCATCAAGAGGAAGAAATTTGATGATGAGCTGGTGGAGAGCAGCCTGGCCAAATCCTCTACCCGGGCAAAGGGGGCCAGTGGGGTGGAACCAGGACGCTGTTCAGGGAGTGAACCCTCCTCCAGTGAGAAGAAGAAGGTAAAGAACTGGGAAAGGCAGTGAGGGGGAAGGGGAAATGCTAGATTTTGTGTTTCCCCAGATCCTTTGCCAGCTACCAAGAGCCCTGCAGAAGAGGCTTGTGAGAGGACCAGCTTGCTGCTCCAGTCCCCTCTAGATCCCTCCCTCCTATCTGTCCCTACTCCCTTTCTTGCTGCACTCCACACCCTGCCAATGCATCCTGTATCACATTCCGTGTGGGAGGCAGGGAGCATGCATCTATTCTGGGAGCAGACAGCTTGTTCCCAGCGTTGCAGGGTGTAAAAATAACACCCAGGTGGCATTGCTCTGGCCCCAGACATTGCACCAGCAAGAGTAGTTTCCTGGTATACTCCCCACCCACCCTCCATTCTGGGGTTGGGGGGTACCACAAGCAAAAGAGAAGACCCCATATGGTCAAGAATTATGTAGAAATAATTTGGTGGGGTAGGTGTTGGAAAGCTGATGCTCTGCCTAGCTCCCTCTTCTTGGCTGAGCCTACAGCTGTCACTGTGTGTGAAGCACTAGGCCTGAAGCCCTAGCTTTTCTGATACCAGCTTGGAGTTCATTGTGCTCCTGTCCTGTACCCAGGTGTCCAAAGTCCCCAGTACTCCTGTGCCACCCAGCCCTGCACCGGCCCCTGGACTTACCAAGCGTGTGAAGAAAAGCAAACAGCCACTTCAGGTGACCAAGGATCTGGGCCGCTGGAAGCCTGCAGATGACCTCCTACTCATCAATGCTGTGTTGCAGGTAGTTCGACTGGGCCCTTCTCTCCTATCCTTAGCTTAGCAGGGCCCTGTGGGAAGGATTCTTCCCAGTGCTGAGGCTGGAGCAAACCTGTTTGGGACCTTGCAGACCAATGACCTGACATCTGTCCACCTGGGTGTGAAGTTCAGCTGCCGCTTCACTCTTCGGGAAGTCCAGGAGCGCTGGTACGCCCTGCTCTACGATCCTGTCATCTCCAAGTGAGTGGATTGGTTCCAGTAACTGGGACGTGCAGGGGGCACCCAAGTTTGACTCTGGGTACAGGAGGGATAGACTACCAGGGCCCAAGGTGAAGGGTAGGGGGCCGAGAGGCAGGGCTGTGGAGCCTTGCATCCTCTGGGATGATCTTGGGACCCTCCAGGCTTCATAGAGAAGCTTCTTCCTCCCTCCAAGCCTCCTAGGGCTGCCTGGATACCAGAAGCAGCAGAGTCCACAAGCAGAAAAGTGACGTGGGGGATAAATGCCCCTAAGTGCCAGGAGTCCCTTTTCTACCCCTCTGCAGTTGTGGCTTTGAGCAGGTCACCTCCCAGATTTTCCCTATAGACCTCTCACAGTTTCTTAGAAGAAGAGGGAGCTGGAAGAAAAGAACCCCAAACCCCTTCTAGCTTTAGCAGAGTTTCAAATAAACTCATATACATAAGCAGCATGCTCTTCCTCCTCCTCAGTCACTTAATTCAGTGTCCTCAAAACTTGATTTGATGCTGAACACCCATCTTCTACTCCTCCACAGCCCTACTACCCACTTAAGCTGTAGCCACAGCCTGATCAGAAAATAGGTTGGCCTTAGCTTTGGAAAGAAGACACAGTAGGCAGTGGTTAATGGGTGACAGCTTTAGCCACGTAATGAGGAAGGGCTGGAAAGGATTTGTCTCAGAACCCGGCCGTTTGTTTTTTGTTTTGTTTTGTTTTTTTGCTATATACCTCTGGCTGACTTGGAACTTATTACACAGACCAGACTGGCCTTGAACTTTCAGAAATCTTCCTGCCTCTGCCTCACAAGAGCTGGGATTATAGGTGTGCACCACCACACTCAACTGGGACTAGGCCTTTAGAGGACATGGCCTCCATTTCCTGAGTGGCCTCTTCATTCATTGGACCATCCTCCAATGCTATGGAAAACCTCTGGTTACTCCTCTTTAGAACTTCTAGGCTCAGGATCTCAAAATCTCCAAGTCTTACAGGTTTAGGGGAAGTAAGAACCCTGGATTACTTGACTTCCTCCTTTTAATTCTGCCCTTTGTTTCTTCCCATGCTCAGGCTGGCCTGTCAGGCCATGAGGCAGCTGCACCCAGAAGCCATTGCAGCCATCCAGAGCAAAGCCCTGTTCAGCAAGGCTGAGGAGCAGCTACTAAGCAAAGTAGGCTCGGTAAGGTTGAGGCTTGGGAAGTTTGAGGACCAGAGCAGGGTACAAGCTGGCTGACCCACCTGAGGAATGACTGACGTAGGGAGTTCTGCCTGTCTCCACCTATGATCTGTGATCTGTATGCACACATACAGATGTATCTATATCTGCAGATGCACCCACATCTGCAGGGGCTGTTGTGATGGGCCTTGGGAGAAACCAAGCCTGATCCTCCAGATGGCTGTTGCTTCTTCAAGTTCCTTGAGAGGACTTGGGATAGGGATAGGAGTGGGAAGCCAAAAGTGGCAGTAAGAAAACCCATGTACAAAGAGCTTATTTCTCATCTCCAGACTAGTCAACCCACCTTGGAAACCTTCCAGGACTTGCTGCACAGACACCCTGATGCCTTCTACCTGGCCCGTACTGCCAAGGCTCTGCAGGCCCACTGGCAGCTTATGAAGCAGTATTACCTACTTGAGGATCAGACAGGTAACATCCCAGGAGCTGCCGAGTGAGTGGCCAGGTGTGCAAGTATGAGAGTGCTTGTGAAGTGCTGTGGGCACAGCTGCCCGCCGGTTCCCTATAACCAGTGCTTTGGCAGCCTCCAGTGTCCTTGTCACGTCAGTTTGCAGAAAACTCTGCTGTCTTCCAGAGGATAAAAGTGCATCTGGAAAGGTCGTTGGCATCATGGGAAGGGAAGCCAGGCTTATCTGGTGTCCGGGGCCTAACGGCCAGACAGCACAGCTATTGCTACTCCTTGTTTCGGGTTTTTTTGGTGGTTTTTCCTTGACGTATTTGGCCGTTACATAAATAAGGCATTAGTATATTATTTACAGGCAGTATGAGGAGCAAACTGCTCACTCTCCCCCATGTTTCCTGCCCTAGAGAGGATCACTGCTGTCAGAGCTTCCCCTCCCTGCCTGTCCCCACCCTACGTTCTCCTTTTATTGCCTTGATCTTGCACCAGGGAGTCTCTGCTGTCAGGTGGCCCAGGATCTTCAGAAGTCCCTGATAGAACTGCATACTCAGGCCCCTGTCTTACTTCTTCTGCAAGGGTTGGAATGCTTTCTACTATCCCTCCTCTCTCAACAGCAAACTCTTGTTCTTTGGGAGACAAGTGTTAGGAGAGTCATCTGGGTAAGCCACAGGAAGGTTTGAGACCCAGGCTCTGATTTCCATGGTGCTGGAATTAAAGGAGTGTGCCCCATGCCAAGCTGTGAAGTTTCTTTTTATTGTCAAAGCCAGTTCATTTTGTTTTGTTTGTGGAGACCTGATTTTCTGTAGCTGAGATTACAGGTGTGCACCACCAGACCCAGCTTCCTTTGTCACTATTTTGAAAGTTATCTTGTTAACTGAAAGCTTTATCTTAAAGGTTATTTTTTTTCCTCCAAGAATCTCATTGTGTGAGAATTTGGTTTCTCTTGTTTGGAGCTGGGTGTCCCTGGGATCAGGCAGTCTCCATGGCTTAGCTAGCAGGTTAGCTGTGGGATTTCAAGCAGGCCTGGCAGTGACCATACCACCCCTCTGACCTCATACAGTCTTAACTACAGGGTGGAGTGTGGCTATATCTGCTGCAAGAGCACTGCAGTCCTGCCACAGCGATCCAAAAGATGCCGGTTCCCAGATACCGGGCACCTCAGTCCCTTTCCATTCATACCAGAAACAGCTGTTAAATTCCATGAAACAGTATTTGTCCCACTCTCTGGTACCAATTTCTGTCCTAGTTTGTTTCTTCATTGCTGTGACAAAATACTCTGACCAATACCAACTTGGGGAGGAAAGGGTTTATTTAGCTTACATCTCCTGGGTCACAGTTCATCAGGGAGCTCAAGGCAGGAACCTGGAGGCAGGAGCTGGGGCACAGGCCCTGGAGGAATGCTGCTTACTGGCTTGCTCCCCTGGCCCCTGCTGAGCTTGCTTGCTTATGCAACACAGGCCCACCTGCCCAGGGGTGGTACCACCCACAGTGGGCTGGGCCCTCCCACATCACTCAATAATCAAGAAAATGCCCCACAGACATGGCCACAGGCCAGTCCTATGGAGTCCATTCCCCAATTGAGGCTCCTTCTACCTCGGTGTGTCGAGTTGACACTAGAGCTATCCAGCACAAGTTCTAATGATTATCTTGCCCCATTTCATCCTTTGAAAAAAATGAAGCTAATTTCATGACCCATAAGCAAGTCATTCTCCACAGCTTAAAGTGGGAGTAGCTCCCAAGACATGTATTTTCCAGTGCCTCTCCCCATGTGGCCAAAAGGCTAGGGAGCAGTTTGGGTCCTGGCTGTGTGCCCCACTAGGGTCAGAGAGTTTAATTTGCCCTCTGGTATCTTTCTTCATATGTACAAGTGGCACCAAGCACTGCCTCTCCTGCTTAGTTCAAGGCTTTGTGAATGAGAGCTGTCCATGCACCTAGAAGCCCATGCAGAGGGCTGCTGTAGTTTCCTTCCTTATCTTGAACCACCTTTGTCTCAGTTAAGTGGCAGGATGCTTTGGGTCAAGAGTGCCACCTAGTTGGGCTCTGGCTCCAGAAGGGCTCTGCCTTGCAGCCTGGCTACTCAGGGCTCTAAAACAGCTGGGGCTGGAGTAGGAACTAGGCGCTTACCCTTCCTTCTTCTGTTCAGTGCAGCCACTGCCCAAGGGGGACCAAGTGCTAAACTTCTCTGATGCAGAGGACCTGATTGACGACAGTAAACTCAAGTGAGTTCCTGGAGAGAGCTGACTCTCCAGTTGGTAGGCACGCCAGTCTGCCTTGCTAACAGCCTTGGGCTTCATTGCTGCTGCTGAGCTGCTGGCTGAAGCTGGCCCTCTGTGCTGCACCCCCTCCCCTGGGGGCCACTCAAACTCACTGCCTTCCCTTTTCCCTCCCCCAGTCCCAGGGCTAGGCTAAGACTTAAAAGCCTTATGGGCCTCTTGGCTGAAGGAGTCTGGGTTGTCCTAGTGAACCAAGTATGTGTCGGAGGAGCTGATGGTGGGCCTGATTCATCCTTCTCTTTTTACCCCTCAGGGACATGCGAGATGAAGTCCTGGAGCATGGTAAGTCTGCCCTGGTGGGGACAGTGGGGGTCGATTGAAGCTCTTGCTGGTAGACAAGTTCAAGGTATTGGTGGCCTTGGAGCATCCCTCCTTACTACTTCACCTCACCTCAGAGCTGACAGTGGCTGACCGGCGCCAGAAACGAGAGATTCGGCAGCTGGAACAGGAACTGCATAAGTGGCAGGTGCTAGTAGACAGCATCACAGGTGAGGGCCAGGGGACCACATAGTGCACTCTTTGGTACCCTTTGCCCTCCTGAGCGCCTTTTGTTGCCTATCAGGGTATATAGTTTTCCCAACTCCTGTCACTTACAGACCTTACCTGCCTTACCCTACCTCCAGTTCTCAGAGCTGGGCCTGCCCTATTTTCCTGACCCTGCTCTTCTCTTAGGCATAAGCTCTCCAGACTTTGACAACCAGACCCTAGCAGTGTTGCGAGGCCGCATGGTGCGGTACTTGATGCGCTCTCGTGAGGTAAGGAGGCCCTCCTATTCCCCACCCTGCCTAGGTACCCCCTTTTCTCTGCCTAATTCTTTTTTAAGAAAAATACTTACTTTTAGCTGGGCGTGGTGGTGCACGCCTTTAATCCCAGCACTTGGGAGGCAGAGGCAGGCGGATCTCTGTGAGTTCAAGGCCAGCCTGGTCTACATAGTGAGTTCCAGGCCAGCTGGGGCTACAGGGAGACCCTGTGTCAAAAAGACCAAAAAAAAAAAAAAACACCTTATTTTTTGTGTATGAGTGTATTGCCTGCATATATGTAAGTGCATCCATGTCATGCAATACCTGCAGAGGCCAGAAGAGGGCATTGGATTCCCCTGGAACTGGAGTTATAGATGGTTACTAACTGCCATGTGGATGCTGGAAATCGAACCCAGGTCCTCTGCAAGAGCAGTCAGTGCTCTTAACTTCTGAGCATCCCCCCTGCCTAGTTCTTGATTTCTCATCTTTCCCTGGCCTCTGTGAGTTCCTGTCCCTTGTTCTTCCTGGTCCTGCCCTCACCTCCCCCATTTTCCCAGATCACCCTGGGCAGAGCAACCAAGGATAACCAGATTGATGTGGACCTGTCTCTGGAGGGTCCAGCCTGGAAGATCTCCCGGAAGCAAGGTATACCTTCCCCTCCCCCCCCCCGCCCCAGCAGGGAGCAGTGTGGGGGTGTTCTCCCAGCCTTTCATGCCAGCTCTGGGCCTTGGTGCCTGTGGGGCCCTCATGGGTCAGCAAGGCAGGCCAAAGGAGTTGGCATTTCTAGATCTCTATTGAGGGGCGGGCGAGGGGGAGGGTCTCCGGTACCTTCAAGCCCCTGTCCCCAGAAGCAGACAGATGCTTGGCTGTCTCCTGGTCTTCTCAATCTTGTCATCCATTTTCCTCTCTGCCTTTACAGGTGTCATCAAGCTAAAGAACAATGGTGACTTCTTCATTGCCAATGAGGGCCGACGGCCCATCTACATCGATGGCCGGCCTGTGCTGTGTGGCTCCAAGTGGCGGCTCAGCAACAACTCTGTGGTGGAGGTGAGCTGGGAGGTGAAGGAAGCCAGGGTGTCTCACCCGGGGCATGGCAAGCTCATTAATGTTGTGGTCCCATCCCACCTTGGTCCTCAGCCACCTTTCTCTCTTGCCCAGATCGCCAGCCTGCGATTCGTCTTCCTCATCAACCAGGACCTCATTGCCCTGATTCGGGCTGAGGCTGCCAAGATCACACCCCAGTGAGGCGAGTAGCAGAAACCAGGGCACTCTCTGGCCTCAGTTTCCCATGTCAATTCCAGCTCCCTTGAGCTGGGAACTCAGGCTCCTGGAAAACCCTTCTGCCCAGAGTGGGTAGTGGAGGCCCAGCTGCTGGCCCATTGATTGAGCCTTTGAGGCAAGGTGGGATCACCATGGGGATGTCAGGAGAGGCTGGGACCCCTGCGCCTCCCCAGAGCCAGAGCCCCCACCATTGCTACCTTCACTCCTGTCTCTAGTGGACGAGCTTCAGACTTTTCCTTTATTGTTTTTCTTTTGTAAATAAAAAGCACTGAGTTCCAAAGTACTTTCTTTTATTTTTTGTGTGTTTTTTTTTTTTAATATAAAAAAAACGTGAGGACAGGTGGAGATGGGCACATGCAAGGGATGGCAGGACCCCTCCTTGTCCTGAGGCCTCCATTCCCCTTCCAGCAGGTGGGCGGTTGGGGGGACAAGGAAGTCAGCAGAGCAGAACCTGTGGAACCCTAGCCTGGGGCCTGCCTGAGGCTCCAGCTCGCCCTCTAAGTCCTCCTTTCTTAGGCTCCCTCCCTGAGCCAGTGTAGTGAGGTTGGGCAGAGCAGCGGGTGGCATATGTTTGCAGTACTGAGCTCCAGCCAGCTGTTAGACCCCTGTGCCTTCTTCCTGGGTCCATTGGACTGTGCCAGGGCCGTGACAGCCAATGAGCACCATCTCTAGGCTGTGGGGATCCCAGGGCAAGGCACGGCTGCCTGACCCTGGAGGGGGCTCTCCAGTGCTGGTAGCCTCAGCCTGGCTCACAGGCTCTGGGGGCCCAGTCCTAGCTCCTTCCTCAGGAGGAGGAGGTGAGGCTGGGGTGCTGGGCTCAGAACAGAGGTCTCCAGAGCCAGGGGGTTCTGAGTCTGAGGTGGAAGTCCATAAAGTTGTAGCTCGAGGCCAAGGGGAGCTCTGAGATGCTGGGGGACCCCAAGGCCAGGGTGCCATGAGGGGAGGGGCCCCTGGACAAGGGTGGGGCCAGGTCCCACTCAAGACAGAGCCTGCTGGGGGTTGCAGGCAGTAGGAGGATGCTCCAGTGTCCACACGCAAAGGCTGTAGGAGCCCAGAAGCACTGGTTGGGCACGGTCCCTCTCCCGACACCCGTGGGCATGGGCCCTCCCCATGGGGTACCAGGATGAGCTGCACAGCCTGTCGAAGTGACTGCAGTCCCTCTCGCATCTGCAGCACCTGTTCCGACAGCTCCATCACCTTTGGGGTAGGGGGCAGGATTAATGGGTCAGTTACCTCAGCAGGCTCTGCCCTTCCCTCCCTGTTCCCACCTCACCCCTCACCCACCGCCTGCCGCAGCTTGTCCAGTGTATCTGTGCTCCTCGCCTCACTGGGCCCAAGGGGGACAGTGAGCAGGCCACTCTCTGTGGATAGGATGGGGTTATCAGCCAGAGCTGGTAAGAGACAGACAGCATGGAATTGAGGCCTTGACCGTTAGGGCGGACAGCATTGACCCAGCAAGACTCAGCCCCCTCCTGGCCTTGTTTTGAGTTACTGAATTTTGCCTAAATTTCCAACACAAGATGAAAACCCCTCCTTGCAGCCCTGAGTAACACTGCCTAGGGCTCTCCTCCCCTCAGGAGGTTGTTTCTTTGGGAGGCAGGGTGAGATATGGTCCCATGTAGCCCAGGCTGGCCTCAAACTTGCTAAATAGCCAAGGCTGGTCTTAAGCTCCTAACTTTGCCTCACTCTGCTGGGACCACAGTTTGAGTGCCACTATGCCTTTCAGAAAGGTCTTTGTGTTTGTCCTTTGTTCTGTCTTCCAGGGAAATGAACCATCCCAGCAAGATCTGTCCACTTCCCAGGCTGCCTGGTAATGCCCAGAATCAGCTTCAACCCTGTTTTCCCAGCTTGTGCTCCCAGGGAGGCAAGCCTGGTGCTAAGGGTTTGAGTTACGTTCTGTTATTTAACATGCACAACAACCCATTTTATAGACAGGAAACTGAATCGAAGAAGCCAAGTCTGTACTGTTAGAGAGCCAGCAGAGCAGGTATCCAAGTCTAGATCCCAGTTACCAGCACCAGCCCCTCCCAGCCCTCATGAGGGCAAGAGGGCTTCCAGGCAGTCCGCCACCTGCCAGTTCCTCTAAAACCAGGTTTAGAGACCAATGGTGCTTGAGGTCTACAGGGTAAAGGGGCCACCCACCAACACACTCTGTCCCCCGAACCCAGTACCTGATCCAGGGGAAGGGCTGCTGCTACATTCTGGGCCAGATTGGCCCACTTGGAAAGAGAACTTGGGCTGGTCAGAAGTACAGCCATCCTCGATGCCATCTACAACCCTGTGGACCCAACAAATAACAGAAAACAACACATCAGCTGGCAGCACTGTGATGTCACGGGGGTGAGGTGTTCCAGTGTTCACATGTGGAGGCTGCAGTAGCTCAGAGCCAGTCAGGGACCTGGCATCCCAAGAGGTTAACACACAATCCCTTTCCCGGTGAGCTTGCAGTTTAACTGAAGAGTAAGCCAGAACATGAGATGACAAGAGTTCAGGCTGTGTCCCACCAACAAGGGAGGGCGGGCAGCAGGACTTGGGGAGGGCTTCTTGGAGACAGGCTTGGACCATGTAGGCTAAAAGGAGTTAAGATGGAAGGATGGGGCCTGGAGTGATGGCTCAGTGGTTAAGAACGTGTACTGGTCTTGTAGAGGATGTGAGTTTGGTTTCTAGCACCCTCATGGAACAACTCACAGCCACCTATAACTCCAGCAGAATCTGACCCCCATGGGCATCACACTCAGGTACAAACCCACTCTCACACACACATAGGCACATAATTAAAAGTAAAAATAATTTTTTTTTTCTTTAAAAAAGGGAAGGCGGCCAGGAACGGTGGCACAGGCCTTTAATCCCAACACTTGGGAGGCAGAGGCAGGCAGGCAGATCTTCATGAGATCGAGGCTGGCCTGATCTACATAGCGAGTTCCAGGCCAGTTGGGGCTACAGGGAGACCCCGTCTCAAAATAAGGATAGTTTCACAGGGTGCAGACTTTGAGGCATGGAACCATTTCTTTGAACACTTTGAGCGCCCCACAACATTGTCTTACTCTTCGCTCGGCTTCTGCTATGATGATCTTCGGCCTCTCACAGGCATGCCTTTAATCCCAGCACTTGTGAGGCAGAGGCAGGCGGATCTCTCTGAGTTCAAGACCAGCCTGGTACGTAGTGAGTTCCAGGACAGTTAGGGCCATAGGGAGACCCTGTAAAAAAAAAAAAAAAAAAAAAAAAAAAAAAGGGAGGAATAAAGCCAGGTGTGGTGATGCATACCTGTAATCCCAGCACTTGGAAGGTAGAGGCAGGAGGATCATGAGGGACACCATTCTGGGCTACGTAGTGAAACTGTCTCAAACGTGGAAAGATGGGCAATACTCAGGGTCAGGGTGTGCCTGGTTGGGGCTTCCACCTCATCACCACAATCCTGCCATGGGGTCCCAGGCTTGCTCACCTGGGACTCAAGTCCGGGGGCACATTCCATGGCATGGGGGGCAGCCGCAGCCCCTCTAGGCTCCGTGGGTGAGCAGATGGGCCAACTTCAGGCTTCAAAGCCCCTGCCCTGCTTGGCCGCCCTCTGCCACCTAGACGTGGCCGGGGTGCAGTTCGACGTGGGGATAGCAGTTTGGCAGCTGAGGACGAGGAGGTGCAGCCAGGTGACAGCAGGGGACTGGAGGGCTCATCGGCTGGGGCTGGTGAGGCTGTGGGCCCCTGTTCCCCATCTGTCCCCTTCTCCTCCAGTGTGGACATGAGGGTGTTGTCACCACTCAGAGAGCTGGTGTCCACCTGGAGACGGGAACAGGGCATCAACATGGATAGTCACTGTTGAGTTCCACTTACCTCCCCTACCAAGCCATTATCTCTCATGGAGAGATGAGCCCAGGAACAGGAAACGCCCTGCTGCCACAGTGTAGTCCCTAAGCCGTAGAGGCACAAATTCTAGCCAAATGTGGGCACACCACCCCCTTCAGGCTAACAGGACTATCTAAGAAGTGTGTACTAAAAACTTGCTTAGAACTAGTGACACAATTCAGCAAAGTCCAAAGGCCCTCAGAACATGCTATTTTGCCATAGAGAGGCAGGGGGGTGCCACAGGGCTCTGCTCAGAAGCAGCCTCCAGGGCCAGTGTCTGTCCCTCCCCAGCCTTCTGACCACCCTCAATCAGCAGCCTACAAGTGTCATCTGTTACCAGTGCCCTTGGCTCCCTTCACAGGAGCCTTTGCCCCTGGACAGGTCCAGTGTGTCTGATGAGCCAAAGAGCCAGGCTGGTGACTGAGTATGGCTGGGCTGGCTTCTAAAAGTGGTGTGAAAGAGCAGAGGGTGGATTCCTGCCCTGGGGCAGGGTGGAGGTGGGGGTTTAACACAGGCCCATGCCTCCCTCTATACACCCACCAACTCCAGCCCCTGCCCATTTCACATGCTCCCTGGCACCCTCCATGCACATACCCAGCACTCTCACCTCTGCAGTGCCTCCCCCAGCACCCAGGTTGTAACTGAGTTCCCCTCGGAGGCCACGGCTGAAGCGTGGAGCAAACTCAGGGTACAGTGCAAGGCTCTCATGCAGCCCAGCCAGCTGCAGACACTGTAGGACGCAGTATGTCAACCCCTTGACATCAGCATTAGCTTTTACCACCTGCTCCCGCTGGGGCAGCTCACAGCCAATAAGATCACCCTTCCCTAGGGAGAGGAAGCAAAGGTCAGCAAGCGAGGACCCCCAGCCACTAGGAGAGGGGAGGCGGACTGTAGACTGAGCAAACTTCCCCTACTGTGCCAGTACAGAGAGAAGCAGGGGGGCCCCATCCTCACTATCTAGGCTTCAGTGGCTCCCACACAGACTAGGTGTGAATACAGGGATCCAGGCTCTCAAACACTTCCAAGGTCAAGACAATTGGGCTGAAACTCTGCATCTTAGTTCTGAAGCTGAATAGTCATCAATTCCTATAGTTCACAGACAGGCTGTTGATTAGACTAGCCTGGGGGAATTAGGCCAATCAGATTTCTGGGCCTGACCCCTACCTTTATCACTATTTCTACAGAAGACCCCACAATCTGATTTTCTTAAAGGTCCCCAGGTGATTTGGGTGCAGCCTGTCCAAGGACCAGAGTTTGTAAGCAGGAGTTTGGTGCTCTGTGGGGCACAGTGAAAATGTCGGGCAGCTCTGCTGACATTGTCCCCAGCCCTGACTGCCTCTTCCAAGCAAGGGTCCCTTGTGTGTCTCACCACAGAGGTCCACAGAGGGTCTTCCAACGCTAGGCTGAGACTCCGACCTGACTGGCAGCAACTGTAACATGGCATTAATTATGTCCTGCAGCCTTGGGGATATTGGATGGGGGGAGGGGTATCTTAGAATCAATGTCCAGGGTGTCTGTGGCCCAGATGGTAAGGGTCAAGTGAGTTAATGCAGATGCTTCATCGGAGACAGAGCTGGCAAGAGAACATCACTGCTGCAGTGGAGAGGCAGCTCTGCCCAACTGGCTAGGTGATTGGAAAGGCTGTTCATAGCCTTAAGGAACAAGGCAGGTGGCTGCTGTCACCCTACAGGCCTCTTTTAAATGTCTGTGGCCTTCCGTTCAAACTTGAGTGCAAAACGCACCTCAGTTAAGTTTTATCTTCTCGGTTTCAGGCTTTTTGGAACCTTTTGAGAGCTATTTGGATTGCAATGGGATCCTCCAAGGAATGAGCTGTCTTGGGTCATCTGAAATAGTAAGTACAATTTAGTCCTCATCCAAGAAGTGAATATGAAAGTAAGAAAAGGGACTGAGGACAGAGTCACAGGGATCAGAGGCTGCTGTTGGCACCGGGGCCAGAGCCTCCAGGATTCAATTGCTATGCTCTCTCATGGGCTTTGCGGTATGTGGCTGAATCAGCTCACAAACAGGTTGGGGCCAAAATTACTACTGGTGACTACAAGGCCAGTCCCAGCTCCCAGGAGTGGGCTGGATGCACCTGAATGCCCAGCTGAGGAAGCAGGTAGGGAGATGTGGGGAAAACAGAGCAGAAAATCAGGTCGTAGCTGGGTATGGTGCTACACATACAATCCCAGCATGTGGAGGCTAAGAAAAGATGCCAACCACAAGTTCAGTCTGAGCTACATAGCAAACACAGAACAAAGCACCCAGGTCATGATCAGGATCAGAACCAGTCATTCATGGGGGCGTTCAGAGCCACCATATCAAGGGGGAAATGACTTATAGAGAACATGGAGGGTGGCACGAGATGGATCACAGGAGCACAAGTTGTGGTACTTGGGACATTCTAGGGGCACAGGGCTGAGCCAAGACTGAGGCCACTTGGTGGTGCACTGCTCTGGGAAGACCTGCACCAGCTCCCAGCACTGAACAACAGCCCATAAGCCACTCAAATGGTCTTGCTTTGGATTGATCAGTCTACAGCTGTCTATCCTCCCACCCTTCTAATCTCTCCAGTTCTCAGTTCCTTTAGGATTACCAGCCATACTTGTGAAAGGTAACTTCTTTTCTTCCTTCTTTTTGTTCGCCCTTCTGTTTTATGAAGCAAGGTCTCATTTCTCCCAGGCTGGCCTCTCTATGTAGCCCAGGATTACCTTGAATCCCTGATTCTCCTGCTTCCACCTCCCTAGTGCTGGGATTAAAGGCGTGCACCACCATGCTTGGCAATGCTGGGTATTGAATCCAGAGCCTTCTGGGTGCTAGGCAAGCACACTGCCAACTAAGCTATACCCAGCTATACCCAAGCCTGCCTCTCTGCCTTCCTCCCTTCCCTTCCTCCCTCCCTTCTTGTCCCTCTCTTTCCCTCTCATCTCCTCCCTATCCCCTTTCTCGTGGTCTTACTATGTTGCTTAGCTCCTGGGCTCAAGCAATCCTCCTGCCTCAGTATCCCACGTGGCTTGAACTCCAGGCGTATGCCACCACACCTGGCCATGACTCCATTTTCTCAGTCCCAGCATAAATTGCATCTGGGCTCAGAAAGCTGGATTCATGAAAGGTGGAAAATAAGCCCATTAACAGCCTGTCACCCTCCCTTCAGGCTCCAAGCCCCTGGGTGACATTTCTTTCTTCTAATGCTCTTGAAGGGTCGTCCTCCTCAAGGGATTAAGGATGAACATCAGTGCTTTGTTATGGACTACCAGGTAGTGATAAACCTCAACCTTCTGGGCTCCAGATGTCCCTACAGTGACCTTGGCTATGACCAGGTCAGCAGTACCTTCCTTCCTAATGGTATATGAGCCCACCTCAATTACCCAGGCATGTCTCTGTCCCTTGCCTTCTGGGGTCACCACTGAGAATCTCCTACAACTGCAGAAGCATGCTCCCCACTTTACAGGCTTTTCATGGGTGTAACACTGAACTGCCCAGAGAGCTTGGATATATTTTCCTAATGCCTATGCATGCATCCAGCCCTGAAGTGCTTCCCTTTCTGTGGTCCCCACTCTTACAGGGCACCCAGGGATACCATGTAAGACTCATGAGGTTTAGCCAGGCAGACTAGATTTCAGCCCCAATAGCCAGTCTCTAGCTGTGTCAGCCTCTCTGAGCTCAGTACCCTTCTGTGTGAAATGGGAATAATGGTTTTTGTGTTTCTGGAGAGACTTGATATGGAAGGATTGGGCAGGGACAGTGCCTTGTGAGATACTTGTGCTCGGCACTGTTATACATCTACCCCTCAGGGGCGATCTCCTGTCCTTGTTTAGGAAACCGATGGCTCACTTCCCTTCTTTCTTTGGCTAAGGGAAGGATGTGTGAGTCTACCCTGCCTTGTGGAGGCTGATCTCTCCTGTCACCTGTTAGGGCTCTGGGCCTGCCCTGTGACCTGCTTCGGGAAAGCCACATCTGCCCTACTTTTAGCCCTGCCAGAACACTGTCTCCCAGGCTTCCTTTCTTACAGGAAGCACTGCTCCTCCATCCCTTCCCACACTGGCTCTTCTTTAAAGCTGGCCTCCACTTGCCTCCTCCAAGGAACATCACCTCCTGTGCTGCCACCTTGTAATCACTGGGTCTTCTCTGAGCTTTGTCCAGGACTCTGGTTACTCCTGACTCCATGCTGCCTGTTCCCCCCGTCAGTGGCTTTGTGTACTCCCCATCTCTGGTTTTTCTGAAGACTGGCCCATGGACTCCCTACACACAAGCCCCCAAGTCCCTCTCTCTCACCCATACAAACCTAGAATGGCAAGGACGGTGCCCCCCTTGAGCACTTCCATGGAACCTGAGCAGACAAAGTAGAGGGCCTGGAGAGCATCGCCTTGGTGGATGAGGTACTCCCCAGGTGTGCAGAAGGCGGGCCTCAGGGCCAGGGATAGTGCCCGCAAGCAGCCTCGGCTGGCAGCTTCAAACAGTGGCAGCTGCAGGACCTCCTTGTGCAGGTGCATGGCGATGTCAGCCCGAAGTTCATCTGGGAGGCTCTGCAACAACTGCAAGCAGACTGGGGTGTTAAAGTGGCAAAAGAGGAGGCCCCCTCCAGCCAGCTCCTCGCAGGAGAATGGAGGAAGGCCTGAGCGACCCTGCACAACACAGCGCTAAGGAGACTGGAGGAAGGCCTGAGCACTCCCCATAGCATTAAGCTGCAGAGGGTGCAGTTAACCAGAGAGGCTCTTTGCTGTCCCCTCCTGCCCCCTCCACACCCCGTCTTGCCCAGCTCCTTTCCTCTTTCTGGTCTCGGGCTGGAACATCATTGAGCACAGAGCCCTCAGAACCAACTGGGGTTCTGCTCTGTCTCATGTGTGGGTGCTGTCCCTGCAAGAGACCAGGAAGACCAAAATTCTGCATTCCCCACGCGCCCGCCCCAACCGCACTCCTGATCTTTTAGGCCAAGCAGAAACCCCTTGAGGAAGCAAAGGCTAGAAGGACCAGCCCAGTAGGCAGCCACACCTCAGTGGTGTCGATGCCATTGTTGACAGCCCAGGTGGCTTGGAAGTACTCAAGCATGCGCTGCTTGAGGGGCTTGGGGATGCGGTGGATGCGGATGTAGTCTCTCAGGTCACGAGTGCGGCTGTGGTACAGAAAGCGGCGGGCATACATGCGTTGGATGATGGCTGTCACATTCCCAAACACCACTGCGTGCATCAGGGCTAGGGAAGAGTGATGAGAGGAGGTTATCCACAGGTCAGGCCCCGTACCATGTTCTGCAAACCTATCCCAATCCTCATGTTCCTAGGCAGGGCAATGGGCCCCAGTGTGCATCTCCCCAGTCCTGGCCTGGTGCGCCACCAAAGGCAGAACCTCCAGTCCTGGGGGCCCTGGGGAAGGTGGGCAGGGAGGGGACGCCTAGAAACGGAAGGCTGGTGAGGACCCAGGGAGCTACTGGCCAGCCTCACCTCCAATGAGCATGGTGCAGATGGAGAAGATCTTCTCGGTGTCCGTGTTAGCTGACACATTGCCAAAGCCCACGCTGGTGAGACTGCTGAGTGCAAAGTAGAGGGAGGTGATGTAGGCGCTGCGCAGCGACGGGCCACCCAGAAGCTCGAGTCCAGTCCTGTTGGTCTCGTTGCTGTTGCCGCTGCTGCAGTTGCCACTTTGGTCAGAACTGTTCCCTCCAGCCGGGCTCCGGCTCACCAGATAGTAGGGAGTCTCCAACCGGCGGGCCAGCTCCTGCAGCCAGCCTGAGGGGGGAGGGGGAGAGGGAGGGAGGGAGGCCCTGAGAAGGTGAGACAGTTCTGCTGCTCTGAGGGTACAGGTGTACTGGCTGGCACCACCAAAGGTGAGAGACATGGACATGCAAGGCCACCCCAGTAGTTTCTGTCACTTCCTCTTCTCTGCTCCCTCAGAACAGCCTTATCCATCCACTCAACTGACTTCAGCAATAGGGGAGAGACTGTCACCTCTCCAGCTGGCTCTGATCGGTGCCACAGGTAGAGGAAGGAGACTCCCTCCCATTTCCCAGGGCTAGTATCAGTCTCACAGAATGCACCCATCAAGAGCTAAATGGACCAGTAAAGAGGCTAGTAGGGGTGGTGGCTGCTCACTGCATTCAGCCACAACCTGGTCCCCAAAACAAGGGCTAACGCCATCTCCTCTGCCCTGTCCACTCACTATTTCTCCTTTTTCTAAGTCCGTCTGCTCCTGAAAACCCCAGTATCTGCCCATCCAGCCACACTCTGTCCCTCCACCCCACAAACCACCCAATCTCACATTGGCTCTCTCTAGCACACCCACATGGATGAGTGCACAGACATCACTGACGCATGACAAATGCCTCACACAGTAGAGAAGTCAAGGGCACACATGTAAACCTCCCACAGATGCCCAGACACAGCCAGTCACTCATACTGAAAAGGCCTGTGAATACTTGAGAGGCAAACATCCACAGGTGACCACACACTGACACATAGGCAGCGATGACAGACACACTTGCACAAAGTGAATCTACTCAAGAGGCTTCAGGCAGGCAGGCATACACCACACACACACACACACACACACACACACACACACACACACACACACAATGGACCATTGGGTGGAGGCTGAATTTAGGGCAAGTGCAACACACAGATCCTGTGTCACACTTTCCCTAACACTTGCTGCATGTGGTCCCCACACTTGTCCTCTTATCCACACACACATTTCCCTCAGCAGCTGAATGCAGTTATCAGGGCTCCAGTGCAGGGGCACAAGTACCTACTATAGGTTGTAGCTACGCCCCAAAGGTGCCACAGGAGAGGGATCAAACCTAAGTGCTATGGGGCAGGGGCTCAATGGCTTTCTGGAAGAGATGTGGATTTAGTCTTAAAAAGATACGGAGATGTTTTTTAAAAAGTTTTCCCGGGGGCTGGAGAGATGGCTCAGCAGTTAAGAGCACTGACTGCTTTTGCAGAGGAGGGGTTTGATTCTCAGCACCCACATGACAGCTAGGAACCATCCTTAACTCCAGTTCCAGGGGAATCTGAAACCCTCTTCTGACCTCCACGGCATTGCACGACCTGGGTGCACTCACATACATGCAGTCAACACACTCATATACATAAAATAAATTTTTTTTAAATTAAAAGAAAAAGTTTTCCCAAGGGAAAACATCAACAAGCCCAAATAACCACGTCAGTGGCCAGCATGGCACACATCATTGTGCAGCAGGGGCGCTTTTATCTTGGGGGCAATCGACAGCTACCTAATTGGACTAAAAGTCCACTCAACAGGAGGAAACTCAAGTGTGGTACTGTAACATAACCAAATACACATAGCTGGAGAGGTCATAGATCTTAGAGAAAACCTCAAGACTATCACATCCCTAGACTAATGTAATTTCTTATTATGTGCAAAATATGCATCCTTCTATTTACAGACAAATATCCTAGGCACCACTCATCAAAGAAGCTTCTAAACCCGATGGAGACTATTACCAACTATCAAAATTGGTCACACACAGACATTGCCTATGAATTTCCCAGACCTAAGTGATCCATCTACAATGCAACCTCTATACCTACAGTTCACAGCACATAGAGGTCACTAATGAATCTCTCAATTCTCGTTACTGAAGCTCCCTTGTATAATAGAGTACCAGGAACACAAAAGGTCGTAAGTGGCCAAAGCTTAGAGATTAAGAGTTTGCATAATGCTGGTTCTTGGACAGGACGCCTATATTAATCTTCGCTCACCCAGGGCTCGGGGAACATTGCCGAAGAGGGGGCAGAAATGTTGTAAGAGCCAGGGAAGAGGTGCAGGACTGTATGGAAGTAGCGTCCTACAAACTCCTGAGAACTGCTCATCTGAATCTACAGCAATGGTGTCAGCACACACAAGTCCCATGCATACTAAAGCAGACAAAAAGCCAGCACAGAACTGGGGAAATGGACAGCAGACCCCAATCTTAGCTGAAGCAATATTGGTAACTGATTATCGCTGGGTGAGGAAGAGCTGATCTTCCTAAAGCAAGGGACTCTAGATAAGCTGACTAGACCTCAGTAGATGAACTTGCACTGAGAAACATCTGGGGACCCTAACTTGACATGATAGGCCTTAATACAAATGACAATGACAAATGTATGAATTCCAGTGGGGGGGGATTATGGGAGGGTGCCAGCGGGAATGGAGGTATAAAGATTGTATGAAATACACAAAAATTCAATAACAAATTAAAAAAATTTTTTTCTCCCTTCTCTTTCCTTCTTCTCTTTCCCTCCCTCCCTCCCTCCCTTCCTGTGTGCACATGTCATGGTGCAGGTGTGGAGGTCAGAGGACAACTTGTGAGGGTTGGTTCTCTCCTTCCACCACGTGGATCCCAGGGGGAAAACTCAGCTCACCAGACTTGGCGCAAGTACCTTTACCTCTTGAACCATTATCACCTGCCCTGGTTTTGTTTTATTTTGAGACAAAGTCTTGCTATGTGGCCCAGGCTAGCCTCAAAATCTTGATCCTCCTGCCTTAGTCGCTGCTAGAGCTGGGATTACAGACATCAGGTACCATGCACAGCTCAGATGATTTTGATAGCAGATCAGCTACCCCTATGAGGTGGTTAGAACAGAGAAGCCTTGCATACTTAAGACCAAGGGTGCCTGTGTCTATTGCAAGGAGCGGTAGCTTATCTGAGGATTTAGTACTTCAAAGCTATTTGGAGGGATAGAGACAGGGTCAAGGTGTTTGCTGACCCTAGTGCTACCTCCACCATCAACTCCCCCCTGTGAAGGGCAGGTGCCAAGGATCTGGCACTGCTGGAGTGTCCCGGTTTCCACATGCTCAGCAACTGAAGGGCTCAGGGGAATAGCCAAGTGGGTCCCCTGGGCACATACTGTCTCCATGCACTTGACAAGGGTGGCAGGGGCCGGGGAGGAAGAGTCACAGGAGCCTCATCATCTCTTGGGGAGCTGATCAAAGCAGGTTTCTAAGACTCACCTGGATGTCCAGTGACCTCACTGAGGAATCATTGGACACTGGACATGAAAGCCAACTGAGCAGCTGGGCACTGACCAAGTGTCAGTCCTGAGAAACTGTCAGGGCTAGGTGTGGGAGGAGGGTATGCTTATTTTGCGATGCACTAGGAGTTAGAAATGGCTGGAACACATGGTTAAGAGAGAAGGATATAAGTTGAATGTCCCTGTGGTGGCATCAGTGGCATATGAAGGGTACCAAGGTGAGGAGGGAGGAGAGAGTCCTTCTGACCTGGAGGGACCCAGCCCAGCACCACACCTCACATAGCAAGTGTGACTGGCAGAGTCAGGTGCTACAGACACTTTACCAAGGACCAGGGTTCAGTCACAGAAAGTCACCACAGCCTTGTGGGCATTTGGAGTGGGATAGTGAGGGTGGACACTCTCAGCAAGAGTTAAGATGGTGGCAGAGCAGAGGAAGGAGCTGAGGCAGTGGGGGTGAAGGAGACATTGGGGATGAAAAGACTGCCTTTTGGGCTCAGGGAGAACACGCACATAGGTGCTATAGGGAGAGAAGAGCTGAAGGTGACAAAGTGGGGCAAGGGCCTAGAGGACCTATGGGGACAAGCTTCAGAGAAGGTGGCATTAGGAAGCTGTGAGGGCAGCAGCTCCTTGCCTGGCCTTCACAGCTGGGCAAGAACTTAAGGAATGTGACAAAGGTCACACACACACACAGATGATTACATCCTGACACCTGCCGCATTAGGAAGCTGTGAGGGCAGCAGCTCCTTGCCTGGCCTTCACAGCTGGGCCAGAACTTAAGGAATGTGACAAAGGTCACACACACACAGATGATTACATCCTGACACCTGCCATCACTTCTCAGGCACGCATTCACCCTTCCCCTTAGTCTCTAAATACCAATCTCAGGCAGCTCCGATTCGCTGCTCTCAATCTCCTGTTGGCCGATGTAGAACCAGACGCAGGCCACCCAGTGAGCGAGCAGAGCGAACACAGCCATGAGCAGGGTGAGCACAACAGCACTGTACTGGGAGTATCGGTCCAGCCTCGGTAGCAATCGCAGCAGGCGCAGCAGGCGCACGGTCTTCAGCAGGTGTGCCCCAAAGTACTAGGATGGGAATGACTAGGAGGTCATTCCAGGCCAACTGTATCCCTACCTGTATCAACCCAAAGCCCATCACCCAGCCCAGCCACACTGACCACGTTGACCTTGAAGGCGTGTAGTAAGTCAAAGGGCAGAGCTGCTATGACATCCAGCAGGAACCAGGTGGTGACGTAGTGGAGGCAAATGGACTTTGGGGCGAATACCACTTGGCCTGACTTGGACACAAATGTGGTGCGGAAATTCAGCACAATATCTGGAGGGAAAACAGGCAAGCATCAGCAATAAGCAGGAGCTGCATAGGGTACCTGCTCAACTATTGCTCTGTCTCAGGCTCTTGGCATCCACAGCCTGACCAAGCTGTAAAAGCTAGCAGGCACACACTGTTATGCCTGTTTCACAGGGGAGGAAACTGAGGCTTGCAGAGACTGTGTCTGGCTCAGGGACCTGTACCACTTTATTGGCAGAGAGTAGGCCTGATTTAGAAACTTCTGGGTCACAAACTGGGGAGGAGTGAGAGAGATACTTGTGGGACACTGGAAACCATGCAAAATAAGATCCCCACCCCCGACCATAGCCCAAGGGTGCCTGGCACAGGGTGGGGTGGAAGACGCAGAGTGCACATACCAAGGATGAAGAGGACCTCCACAGCCAGGTCACAGACACTGGGTGGGCCACGGGCGGCACTAGGCTCCCGTGCTGTGCTCACACACACACTGTATGGCACAGTGACAGCCACATAGAGTGTGGCAAGCAGGATGAAGCCATCCCAGGTGGCTCTCAGAGCCCCACAGTGCAGCAGAATGAAGGGTGACTTCCGGATGGCAGCGACTTTATATTCAGGCAGGTTTGGCTTCTCTCCAAACACTCCCTGAGACAGACGGGCCAGGTCCAGGTAGGCAAGAAAGGATATGGACAGAGGCTAAGTCAGGATAGTGTCTGGAAGGACATTTGCCTCCGTTCTCTCCCTGCACTCTCAAAGCAGCCCTCGGTACAGGCATTAGAGACCTTACGCTATAGACCAGAAAGCTGAGGATCAGTGAGAGCAAATGACTTAGCTGCTTAGGAGAGGAGCCAGGATTGAACAAGGCCCATATGACACCAAAGCCAACACTTCCTTCTAGATTGAATCAGACATGAGGCAGTTCTCTCTTTCATTCCCATTCCTGAAGGCCCAACTGGCCCCTGAACATTCTCTCCAAGGTGGGCTCAGTTCCCCTCCTGGATCTTCTCTGCCTGCCCTACCCTACCTCCAACCCTGACACACACACTAGTGCTCAAGCTACCTTATTGAGCTTGTGCTTGCCCTTGGGCTGTTTCTGCAAGTGGCCAGAGAGGTGGTAGAGCACAGCTCGGCTACGCCGTCGGTTGGCGTTAAAGCCTTTGGTTCTAGCCCGACCATACCGGCGCCGGCCACCACCTGCAAAAGATGAGGTGCCCATGAAGTTGGGGTGTAGGATCCTGGGTATAGGACATAGTTGCTGGTCCATGGACTGATCTAGCTCATTGACCATTTTGCCTATTCAGAGTGAGGAGTTAGGCTTTCCTCACTTTAGGGGTCACTTGCCAATCTCAGTACTCAATCCTAGGGGTGCTTATAAGGCATTAGTCCCAGGGGCTCCTTCCAGGAGAAGGTCTGCATCCAGCAACACAAGAAAGGGAGTCAATGAAGAAAGGTCTGAGAGAGGAAATCTGTAAGAAGGTCTCAGAGTGGGGATGCAGAGCCATTGTGTGCATGTGGTGGTGGTGGGGCAGTTATCAGCAAGGTGTATGGGAGCTCAGAGAAGGAGCCAAGGGTCCAGGTGAAGGGAACAAAGGAGGATACTGAAGATTGACACCGAGGAGAGGCCAACCCAGGGCTGAGTGTGGAGGAGGAGGAATAGACTGGACACCAAGCATCCCCAGATGGCAATGAGATCTTGGAGCAGTGTCTGATGACAGTTCTGTGACCTACCTGAAGGCTTGCATCAGCCCTTCGAGGACCCATGGGGGAAAGACCCTAAGATCTTAGAAAAGGGCTTTGTCCTGGGCTCCCCCATCAGGCATGCTGTGCGGAAAGGAGTCAGGTGAGCCTTCATGGGAAAGGGGTGCTTTCCTAGGCACAGATGCCATTTGTTTGTATCTCATTTCTTAGCAAAGTTGGCTTGAAAACTTTGATTTTGTTTCCACCAGACCATTTGGCCAAGATTTCCCAGGTCCTCTCAGCCTGACAGAGTGGGACTCAGCGGGCACAAGAGGGGAGGAGGACCTCCAAAGCCCACACTGAGGTCACAGCTCAGTTCAGGCCTCAGGTATCCAACACCCAGTCTCTCTTTGATTTTGTTTCCACCAGACCATTTGGCCAAGATTTCCCAGGTCCTCTCAGCCTGACAGAGTGGGACTCAGCGGGCACAAGAGGGGAGGAGGACCTCCAAAGCCCACACTGAGGTCACAGCTCAGTTCAGGCCTCAGGTATCCAACACCCAGTCTCTGCAGCTAAATCAACACCACAGGGCACCCACCTCTCTCCTTCCAGCTGTCGGGGCCCCCTCGATTCTTGGTGTCACTGATGTCCTTGTGAGAGACCAGGAAGAGGGCCACCTCCCCCTTCTCATTCTTTATAGGTATCACATCCAGGAGACACCAGAATGGGAGCCCTAAGCACAAAAGACAGACAGCCTACCTTCCATTTTTGGCCTTGCCAAAGGTGACAGACAATCTCTGGTTAAGACACAAGCAGGAATAGGGCCGTGTGTGTGCGTGTGTGTGTGTGTGTGTGTGTGTGTGTGTACAGCCGTGTGGGCTCACTTAAGAGAGGGCTTGGTAAAGGGGAGCAAAAGGGAGCAAACATGACTGCTGTCCTGTTGAAATGGGCATTGTTTTTCTGGATGTGAGGAACTGGAGATTGGGAGTAAGAGGAGGTTGGGACTAGGGTGAGGATGATAGAGAACAGGGGCCAGAATGATGTGTAGGATGGAGAAAGGGGATAGATAGACGGGTACATGGCAAGACGAGGGAAAGGGAGAGGGACAGCAGATGAGGTGGGGAGGCAAATTGTGAGGCAAATTGGTGCTGTGATTCCTCACCACTCTTCCTGTACAAGATCAGCTCAGCCTTGAACTCCTTGTGCTCATCCAAGGCCTTGCGGATCTGTTGTCGGACCAGCTCACTGGTATCTGGCCCATAGAGGAAGGAACAGGCACAGCCCCGCTGCATGACCTCAGCCCTGGAGAAGCCGGTGAGGTCACAGAAGCCATCAGAGCAGTAGACCACAGGGAAGAGCCCCGCCACCTGGGCATTGCCCAGTACGAAGTTACTGTCTGCAAGAAAGCGCCTCTCAGAGGAGGTATGAGGTAAAGGTGCCCTTCCCCTGCCACCCCTGCTTTTCAAAATAGCTGCAGCCAAAGGGCAGGCTTCTCATATTCTGGGAATGCTGTATGTGAGCTGGCCAGAACCTATGTATGAATGGGACTCAGCATGTCATCTGTGTATCAATGTCCTGCAAGGGCCAGCTCCCAACCAGATGTGTATGGTGTATTTGAGAACCAGCACATGTCAACACACATGGTTAAGTACAGCCATATGTAGGCATTATGTCCTCCGGAGTGTGTCCTGAGCACTGAGCACAAGGGGTGTGTTAGGGATGGCCAAAGGACTGTACCACCTGCTCTAGGCCCACTTTTACTTCTGCCGATTTCGATTTCTCCATTAACCCAGATGCCAGCTTGGCTCCTCCCACAAGGATCCACCAGGTCTGAGAGACAGCCCAGGCCACTGTCCATCCTGTACTGTGTTTGCACTCTAGCTGACTGCCCTGACTCAGGAACTAGTGAATGCAATCAAGAATGGGGGTGTATGGATAGTGACTGAACAGTAGAGCTTGGAGCCAAGCATGTATCGGGGAATGAGGGGTGCTGAATCAGCAGGCTGCAAGCCCAAGCACACTGGCAAAGCAGATGGAGAAGCCTGGAGGGTGGGAGACAGAGCTCAGTGATGAGTTCCTACCCACTATCTACAATAAAGCATCCTACCATGGAGGATGCTAGTCAGACCTGGGAAGCCCCACTGCGGGTGAGGGTGAGGGAGGAAGAAGACACACCCCGTTTTTCATTACTTTTCCGGTGTTCAGAGCCCCAGGAACTCAGCGTCCAGGAGTTCAAGTTGCCTTTTCCAAACTTCCCCAGTCCTGACCGGAGTCCCCATGCTAGGTGGGCACTCCTAGGCGGTGTGTTTAAGCTGTGAGATGGGCTTGGACACATGGTACTCTGCTGAGTCCCGCCTACTCTATCTTCCTTTGCAAATCTCATTTCTAAATCTGGTTTTTGAGCCCACCGCGCTGCCCATGAGCTTCAAGTCCTGCGCCTCACTTCACTCGGCCAGTGCGAGCATGGCTCTTGCAACGCAACAGCGCCAGATCTAAGGACTGGATGGGTCAGACTGACTAGGTCCCGGTTCCTGAGGTTCCTGCTTCCGGGAAGGGAGAGCATCCCGGCCCCACGCCCAGGGACATCTCCTAGCCTCTCCATGAGCAGTGTTGACCCTTAAATCTTTGGGGAAACCTTCGGTGCCTGGAAGGAGAGGATGGTTCCAGCTTCAAGAGGTGCGAGAAAGAGGGAGAAGGTGAGAACCGGTGGGCGCCAAGCCGCGGATGGGAGTCCTGACCCGACACTACTCCGGAAGCTAGGGGGCTAGGGGCCGACTCACGCGTGCCGTCGAAGCGCGTGGCGATCGTGTCCAGGAAGGTGTTCTGCGGCGCCAGGAGCCCCCGCATGGCCGGCATCTTAGGTGGCGGGGGCCGCCCGCCCCATCCCTCCGGGGCGCGGGGACTCAGCGCCGGAGGAGGGCGCCTGCCTCGGCTGCCCCCCGCCGGGCCCCGCGCCCCCTAGCGTAGCCGTCGGGGGGCGAAGCCCAACCCTGGCTCGCAGGCCTCACCGGCTGCCTGCGCCTGAGGGGGCGTCCGCGCCGTCGGGGCTGGGAGCATGGCGCGCGACCCCCCGCGCCCTCGCCGCCCACGAACCCCGGGCTCTAGGGCCCGCGGCCGCCACTCTCTCTGCACCTCTTGCCCGCCGGGGGCTCCCGTTGCTGCCGCGGGGTGGCTCCTGCTCCAGCTCCGCTAGGCGCCGGTCCCGCAGCTCCCTCCGTCTGTCGGGGAGAAGCAGCAGTCTACCTCCCGCACCGCCGCCTGCACCGGGGTAACCATGGAGACGGGGCACACCCAGTCAGGGCCGCCTCCTTAAAGCGACAGGCCTCCCGCAGAGGGATCCCCTCCCCTAGGGACCTCGGTGGGGGCAGGAAGGGCTGCCGCCCCCCACCAGCACCGCCCCGGCCCACAGCACGACGCGCCGCTGGCCCCTCGGCCGACCACGGCCTGGTGGGCTGACAGCCTCGGCCACCCGGGGGGCATTTCTGCAGCCTGGGACTTCTTTCTTGGTGAGATTAGACGGGGGCTGGGGGGAAGGGGGGTGTTGTAAATGTGCTTCGGGAGCTGGAGATCTGGAGGTCCGGGCCGCAGGAGGGCTCTGCTACGCAGGGGACTCGGACAGCGGCCGAGGGGGCTCCGAACCCGGCTTGGGCCCCTTTAGCCCTTCCTCGCCTCAGCTGGACCCTGTGGGACGCGGATGGCGCCCTCCAGCAGATGCAGCTGTGGGCGGCGGCCCTGGGAGTGAGGCTCGGCCTCCTTCGGCGAGACCCGGGAGCGCAGAGGAGCGCGTGGGGAGGGGGCCCGGGCCGCCCCTCGGATTCGGCCCCTCGCTCTGGTTTCTGTCGTTTCTGCGGCTCCCGGCCGCCGCTGGGGTCGAAGGTTGCAGCAGGTCGGACGCCGGGGAAACTTCCCGACCTCGCACCAGCTTCGGGGCCCGAGAGCTCGGCTCTCCCTTAGGAGCCCGCACCTCCAGCGAGGGCGTGGGGAGCGGGGGGGGTGGACGGCCGTCTCCGGTCCTCGTGCGCGCCGCGACGGTCCCCGCGGCCTCTCCTGCCAGCGCCGCTCCTCCTCCCTCCCACGGTTTGCCAGGGAGCGCGGCTGCCGCCCGCGCCCTGAGGAGCAGCGGGGGGCCGGAACTGCCATTTGTTCTCCGGTGAGTGAAGCCGGAGTTGAGCACCGCTCGGTGAGTGGAGACACACCCACAGCCACCGGCGTCGGGGAGAGGCGTGTACCCCGCCCCACCTACCCTCTGTCAGGGAGCCGAGCCGAAGCTCCAGGCACCTGTATTTAAATGAGCAGGCGCTTTGGAAAGCGAGGGAGGGAACCTTCCCTTCCCCTAGCCCGCCAGAAACCTGGAATCAGGCTCCCAGCAGTGGGGGTGAGCCTAAAGGGACCGGTAGATCACGTCTCTTAACCCTAGTGGACCCCCGGGCTAAAGGGCAACCCTCTCCCCCAGAGCCCTCACCTCTTTCCCTCCAAGGGCTAACCAGAGGGGCATTTTTAGCTCGCTTTAAGCTGGGTGAAGCTCTGATTCAAAACACGCACCATCTGGAAAACCAGGCTAGCCAGGCCTAACTGCTGCTCTCCCACTTGCTGTCCCGGTGATTTTTTTTTTAAGGCAAGTTATTAGCATTTCAGTGATTCGGTTTTTCTCATCTGTAAAACGGGGATGCCAAAAACTACCCCAGAGGATTATGAGGATTAAATAAATAAGTGAACATGTATAAAGAACCCAGAACTGTTTGACACCTGCATTATGCAAATGTTTACCATCTGATTGTCTCAGAGGAGCCCTTAGAAATAGCCAGGGTAGTCAATTCATGAAGGAGAGAAGGGAGAGAGGAGAAAGGGAGAAATAGAGCCAGGGTTCCATCCCTGACAATCTCCCAACCCCAAGTCCAGAGCCTGCCTCCAGTATTGGGGTTGCTTAGTCCAACTGGTCTGAGTCATTCCTGTAAGGCCAAAGGGTGTTCAGATTATTAGGTTTCCACACTCACTCACCGAGGCTGGTTTGAGGTATTAAGTCAAGCCAGGTGCTTTGGATTACAGCAAATGGGAATTATAGAGGTTTACATTTACTGAGCATCAACTTGGTGCCAAGCACTGTGCTATTCCTGTCAATGTACAGATGAAAATATTGAAGCAATGAGGTTCAATAAGAACCTAGATAAGTACCTTATCTAAGATGTACTCCTCCATTTGCAGCTCCAGGTATGAATGTGCCACTGTTTTGGTAAGCAGGGTCCCCATTTCTAGAAGATACACATTTTTACTGAATGTTGTCTCATCTTATCTCAGAGTGAAACTGCAGCATGATGTGGACTTTAAACTCCTTCCTCCATTACCCCTCAAAATACCGATGTGTGTCTTTCCTCTAGTCTGCCCTGTTTAGATGATGTGTTCAGGTATAAGACCCTTCACCTTTACCAGCTTCTCAGATGATCTACTCAGGTCTGGCATTTGTTTGTTTATGTAGGTCTCCTCAACTTTTGGTGATTAATTCCTTGCCTTCCCTGTCCAACCACCCCTAAGTGACATATACATATTAAGGGACAGGGAACTTTGGTTAGGAGCCAGTGGGATGGGGGTTGAGTTGAAAATGGAACAGAGCACTAGGTCAGAGCACTGACCCTCTCACTGAAATCTTTTCCTCTCCCTTTTCTCCAACCCTGGACTCATTCTGACAGGCCATGCTTGGAAGTTTGGGGGAGGGGTTAGGATGAAGGGGGGGCCCTCCTCAGAGACAGCTCAAAGCCTTTGTCAACAAGAAATACAGGAGGCTTCATTTTGGAGTTGGCGTGGGTGGCCTGTGGGAGTATTATAGTATTATCTACAAAAAAAGGAACAAAGGGGAGGGAGGGAGGGAGGTGGGGAGGAGAGTAGAGAGAGAGAGAGAGAGAGAGAGAGAGAGAGAGAGAGAGAATGGGAAGAGCACAGCACAGCATAACAAGGAAAAAAATGTTCAAGACACAAAAGACGGACAAAACTCTCCTCCCAACCCCAAGGCAGAATCAGACACTATGTACGGGGGGTGGGAGGGTGGGAACGGGTGGCTGTTGAGGAACACCGCCCAGGGCTCCTCCCTCTTCCCATCCTCCTTTCAAGAGGTCCCCAGGCCTGACCTGAGACTGGCCCTTGCCCTTTGCCAGGCTCTGCTGTTTCTGAGGTTGTTAGACTTTTAAGTTAGTCTGAGTTCAAATTTCAGCTAGGGCATGGACCAGCATGACCTTGGGTGGGGTACATCAGTCCCTTCATTTGTAAGATACTTAAATGTTTTAAGGTGCTGGAGAGCTGGTTTAATAGTTAAGAGCTCTTGGCTGCTCTTGCAGAGGACCAGCATCCACACGGTGGCTAACAACCGTCTATAACTGTAACTCCAGTTCCAGGGGATCCACTGCCCTTTTCTGACCTCCATTGTAGAACATGGGTGAACTTACATACATGTAGATAATGCATTCATACACATACAATTTTTAAAAAGTTATATATCAGCACCCACATGGCAGCTCACAACCATCTGTAATTCCAGTTCGGGGGATCCAATACTTTTTTCTGGCACCTTGGGCACTCTATACACGTGGTACACGTGTATGTAGGGAAAACCTCATACACATAAAATAAAAAATTTTAAAAATGTTGTAAAGCAATGTCAGGCATGGTGGTACATGCCTTTAATCCCAGCACTTGGGAGGCAGAGGCTGGTGGATCTATGTGAGTTTGTAGCTAGCCTGGTCTACATAGTGAGTTCCAGGACAGCTGGGGCTTCAAGGAAACTCTGTCTCAAAAAGACAAAACAACAAAACAAAACAAATGTTGTATAAGCAATGGTGCACACTTTTAGTTCCAGCACTCAGAGCCAGAGGCAGGCAGATCTGAGTTCCAGGCCAGCCTGGTCTAAAAAAAAAATTATGGGGCTGGAGAGATGGCTCAGCAGTTAAGAGCACTGGCTGCTCTTGCAGAGGACTTGAGTTTGACTCCCAGCACCCACATGGCAGCTAACAACCACCCAGTAACTCCAGTTCCAGGGGATCCAATGCTCTCTTCTGCCTCTGTGGGCACTGTACAACACAGGTGCACTTACATACATTCAGGCAATATGCTCATTTACATAAAATAAAAATAAAAGTATTTTTTGGAAAAATTTGTACAAGGACTGGAGATATAGATCAGTTGTTAATTTGCCTTGCATGCATGAAACCCTGAATTCATCCCTGACACCACATATACCCAGTGTGGTGACACATATACATGTCCTAGTACTTGGAGGCAGGAGGTTCTGATCAGTTCAAGATCACCCTCAGGTATAGAATGAGTTTAGGGCCAGCCTGGGCTATCTTAGATGTGAGACCCTGACTAAAACAAAAATAGAGTTGGACAAGTTTCTTAGGCCCAGGGTGCTGAGACCAAGGACATGAACTCAGGATAAAGCCTGGTGGATGGTTCCTCATCTCCATCCAAGTATCTTGGCATTCCTTGAGACTTCCAGTTCTTAGCCACCCCTTGGCTCTGATTCTAGATCATTCTTTCTCTTTAAGTGGAGGACCCTAGCTAGATTATAAGCAGAGGACAGTAAATTTTCAACAAGGAATCCTTGAATGTGCATGATTTTACATAAAGATAAAGAAACCTATTATATATCATAGAGCTATGAAGCAGTGGACGCAGATTGGGAATGAGAATTGACAGGCTGACAACAGGTTGCTCCTGGGCCATGTTGTAGGTGTGTCCTGTCATTCAGCAAACAGCCTATGGAAAGGGAGGGAACAGGGTGCTCATTTTGATGGGCAGTCAGCTGGTGACCTATAATAAATGCCCCAGGAAGACACTGCCCTTGACTGAAGCACCCCAGGGAAGCAGGAACCTACAAGAGAGGGAATACCTTGACCTCCTAAGAAACCTTTCTCCCAATCTCTGTGTTCTGGCAGCACCAGCAAAAGGGTTTAAATTCAAGTTAGAAAAAAAGCCTAACTGGGTTAAGTTGAAGACACATAAAAGGAGACTTGACTTTTCCTTGAGGAATCAGGAGTGGGTGGTATTTGTTCCTGCTGTTTTGACAGCATTGAAGGGGTGGGTGGGCAGAACAGTTGTGCTGATGGTGGGTGAGTTTTCCTCACCCAGAAACATCTTCAGATAGGTTTTCCTTGGTAAGTAGGAAATAAAAGTCCCTTATCACCTGTATGGAAATAATCGCTTGGTTTTCCCATGAGGAGGTCTGACCTGAGAATCACTCCTGCAGGCTGCTGTGACTGTTTACTGAGCTCAGCTGTCTTCTTTCAGTCTGCCCCACCCACACAGGCCTGAAGCTGGGCCAGGGGACACTGTCTTGGCAAGTAGTCAAAAGGCCAGAGGCCTACCCTATTGGAGGGGTGTGTACTCCATGAGACAACAGAGATCTATGTTCCTGATTTCTTCTTGAGTAAGAAAGTCTGTCGAGCTAGAGTTAGGAAAGCCTTTTACACAAGCTGTTATTAATAAGGCCAGGGAGACAGAAGCAGGGGACAGACAGGTA